TGACACCAAAGACATACAAAATGATAGCGAAACTAATCGCTGCCAGCGTTACACTGGCACCCACAGCAACTTCCCTGTGTTGGAAGATTGCCAAAGAATAGGGGGCAGAGGCCCTTGGTCACGACAGGAAGAGGTAAGGTGCAGGCGTACAGTGACATCCTCCAGGGAAGGGCAGCTTTTCCCTTGGCCATCGGAGGCCCCGGCCCAGAGGGGCAAGAGAGCCGGACCGGACATGGAACCCGGGGCCCAGCCCTCCAGGGCCCCGGGGGACGGGAAGGCCGAGCCACAGCAACAGTCCCTCACTCAGTCCATCGAGGGCCACGGCCAGGTAGTGCTGCTGGGCGAGCTCTGGAAGCAGGATGAGTGCTGTGTGACGCTGCAGAACATTCTGGAGCAGGGCCTGACCGATCAGCCCTCTCGGCCCTCATCCATCCGAGCCACGAGCGGCCATAGCAGCTCCAGCATCTGAGCCAGGCGGCGGCTCAAGCGCTCCGGAGACAGCTCGCGGAGGTGCGCCGATTGCCCGGCTGCCAAGTCCAAGCGCTGCACGCAGAAGCAGCCCTGCGACCGGCGCAAGGCTGGGGACTCGCAAGAGCGCAAGCGTGAGGCGGCTCAGGCTGCGGCTCCGGCTGCGGCTCCGGCTCCGGCTGGGAACCCCGGCTCCGGGCTGGCAGAGGACGCAGCGTCGGGCTGCCAAGACCCTAGGCAGCCGCCGGAGGCGCCCTCGCCCCGCGCGCGGCTGCTCGTGGTGTCGCGCCGCGCGTCCGCGCTGAGCTCTCAGCTGCTCCCCCAGCAGGTGCGCGACCAGGGCCGCCGCCCGGCCGCCCTCCGCGCTCGTCGGGATCGTCTTGCAGCCCCGGCGCGACGAGGCAGCCGAGGCGCGCCGCCGCATGGAGACCCTGCTCTGCAGCGCCTTCGCCCCGCACAGCGCCTCCGTGGCGGTGCACACGGCCGTGTTCTGCCCCAGCCGCCCGAGGGCACTCTGGACATCCAGCTGGCCGCCAGCGGAGCGCACAAGGGCGCGTCGCCGGGCTGCGTCCCCCTAGTGGATCGGGCAACCCAGACGGATGGTGAGGGGCCCGAGGGCAGGGGCCCGGAACGCCAGGTTGCCACGGGCGTCCCCGGGTGGGAAACTAATAACAGAGGGAGTTCCCTGACCTTGCTGGTCCCAAGTGGTAGACAAATCCCCCGTGTCACAGTCCCTCTCCTAACGCCTCCACGTAACTCCGTTTTGGGTAAATATGAACTAGATTTCTCGCCCCAGGTGTCTCGCTGGGGTAATCTCGGGTCAAAAATGTTCGAATTCACTTCATTGTGTAGTTAAAGCTCCCACCAATCCACCCAACTCCCTTCCGCCTTGCCCACTGCTCCCAATCAAGCTTTTCTAAGGTCCAGATTCGGGAGTCTGTAGTTCCCGGCCCCATCCCCTCCTCTCCACGGCCACTCTTCCTTGCTTAGTTCCTTAGTCTTCTCCAAGGAATCGCAGCTACCATAAGAAACATGCCTATGGTGAGCCAGGCACTGTTCTAAGGGCTTTTCACGACTAATCCTCACAACCGTAGTCTAAGGAAGGCGCTGTGTTGGAGTAGCCCTGGTCCCCCGTGCGCCTCGCCCCCAATGCAGGATTCTTAGCCTCAGCCCTTTAAACCCTTACTATCAAGGAATCCAGGCCTGTGGCCCCAGCGGGTTAATCTGTGGGTCTGAGGGCCCTGGGCCACCGGCCAGCTCTTAAATGAGCACCAAGTGCCTCTGCTGCCCAGAGCCCTTCCAGGGGCAACAGTTGGGAAGAAGGAAGTGCCCTGGGCTCGGTAATCCAAAGCCCGCTCCCTGGAGGCTCTGACACCCTTCTGCTGGTGACCAGAGCATGTTGTCTCCTCCACCGATTAGCTGCCCTTCTGACACGTGGGGGTGAAGGGTCAGTTGCTGTCTGTGGTCCCATCCAGATATAAGATGCTAGTTTCAGGACAAACGGTGACTGCTTGTTCTGGGTGCCCGAGATGCATCCAGAGGGCGAGAACTACCAGGGACCCTCTGGTCAGGCCCGCATCCTGACTACCTAACTTTGCAGCCCTTTAGACTCATTCTTCTCGCTCTCCTAAATAGTCCATGAGGTCTTCCCATGGCTGGCTTTCCTGCTTCAGAAAGCCCCTTGCCTGGGGGCTGTTCCAACCATGATCCTCAGGCAAGTCCAGAAAATCCCAGTCCATCTTTGCAAACAAGCCATTCGTGATGCAGCTCCAAAGTGCCTTGTCCCCCCTCGGCCACACCCCTGCCTTCAACGATTCCCTGTGTTCCTTGGCCTCCCACCGTCACCTTCAAGCAGCTCGCATTGAGCCCCTTCTCTGGACTTTGGCCCTAGAGAAGATGAGGATAGAAATCATTCTAACCCCACGTAGGATGTGATCTGGGGCCCAGAGAGGGAGAGATTGCTTCCAGTTGGGGACCTATAGAAAGGCTTTTTATGAGGAGATGGGTCCACTTGAGGTGAATCTTGATGATGGGAAGTGTTCTGACAGAGAGGGAGAGGGGCTTGATGGAGGGGAAAGGGCTTCCACAAATGCAGGAAAGTGAGGCATGTTCACCAGACCTCTGGTGCTCACGGGTGGCTGGAGCTGGACACGGTAGCAGCAAGGTGGCCGATAAGCCTGGGACAGTGCGCCATGACTCTGTTATAGAGGTGTCAGACTTCCAGGCTTGAAACATGTGCTCCAGCCAGAGGGCAGAGGGGAAAGTATTTTAGCTAAAACTATTGCGGCGCCATATTCTTCCTCATCCTTCTGGGACAACCTCTCACTCCACAAGTGCCATCTCTCTGCTTCTTGGGATCACGCTTGCTATCTTCTCCACTGTCATGGAAAAACTCCCCACTCCTCCTGAAGCCTGACCCTCTGTGTTTCCTTCATCGCTCTCCTGGGGAACAAGGATTTGTTATCTGTGTCCTGTTTGGCTCCTTGGTGTGAAATGGAATGTTTCTTTCATTGCTACCGGGAAATCCTACCCATATATGTCTGCCCCTCTCTAATTCTTTTAAACCAGTGGTTCTCAACCTGGGGCAATTTCTCTGTCTGTCTGTCTGTCTGTCTGTCTGTCTCTCTCTCTCTCTCTCTCACACACACACACACACACACACACACACACACACACACACACACACACAACATCCTGGGGACATTTAGCAATGTCAGTAGACATTTGGGGTTGTCGCAACTTGGGGGGAGGGATAGTTGCTACTGTCATCTAGTGGGCAGAGGCCAGGGATGCTACTAAACCAATTCCAGTGAAGGACGGCCTCACAAGAAAGAATTATCTGACCCAAAATGTCAATAGGGCTGAGGTTGAGAAACCCTGGTTTAAACCAGGTTGTGGCCCTTGGTCAAAAGCCCGTTGGTGCCTGAAAATCAAATTTTGCAGACATAAATGCCTTAGGAGTTCCTGACCTGTCTGCTAAATCTGGACAGTGTTCCTGACTGAGGTTTCCAGTCTCTCTGATTCAGAACTGAATCCCCCACCAAGGGATCTGGTGCTCTTGACTTCAGGGAATGACCACCTTCTTGTAGACTCACTTGTTCCGTGAACATCCACACGCCAGGGATCAACCAAATTCAACCCACCTTCTTTGATCTGAGCTTCCTTTCATTTCTAATCCTTCATGCCTTTGTTTTCTTCAGTCCTATCAAGGGGTTTTAAAATTCATTAATTTTAAGGCCTGTATCATTATCTGACTCCCTATTGTCTTCTGGAGTCATGAAAAGAAAGAGCCCCGAATGGGACTTTAGCCTTGTTGATGCCTCCAACCAGCTATGTGACCTTGGGAAGGTAATTTAACTTCTCTGAACCTCAGTTTCTCTTCTTCAAAAAAGAATCATTAAGGTCTTTTCAGGCTTTATAATCCTTAAAATACATCCTGTCCATTTTATGTCTCATGTCAGGTCTGGCCTTATGTGAGGGCTCCTCCTAGGTAGGTCTGCCCTAAACCGCATGCTGGGGCAAGAGTATGAGTCCCCAGATTCCAGGGGTTCAGTGGAAACCTCACCCCACCTAGTGGTGCATTAATGGTGGAGGCGGAGTCTCCTAATGTGAACACGTTTTACGTTGCAGTCAAAGTGTGAAGTTTAAGGTTGTCTTTTTAAAGTGCTATTTCCTCTTCTTTCCTAAAATGAAAATTACATTGTTAACTTCGAGGAAGCGTCACAATCCCTTAACTGGCAGGACAAGTTGGGAGTTTGAGAGGTGGTCTGCGGTTGTCAGTGTAGTGGGTTTCAGAAGTTTAGTTTTCCCGGCAGCTGTTGCGTTTCTAGGGGAAATTCTTTTGCCAATGGCGATGGTTCTTATCAAAGTTGGGGAAACCCCCCAGCCCTTTCCCATAGCCGGGAGGGCCAGCTTTGGGAGAAGGGGGAAGCCGCTCTGTATAGGATAATCTGGGGGGGGTGGGTACAACTGACACAGCAGAAGGCTGCGGGCCTTCCACGGACCCCCAAATCTTTAGTTACCTAAAACTCACAAAATGCATGGTGAAGGTGTTTGTTTGTCCGTTAGTTTGCTTTGGGGGAGGTAGGTACGTGACAACCAGTGACAGAGCGAGCATCACAGCCAGGGTGTCTTAAAGAGGAACAGCACGCAGGGACCCAGGAACACACCAGCAAGCAGGTGCCTGAAGGAGGCGCTCGGGGGACAGAATCGTGGGCGTCCAAGTTTCCACGGGCCCCGAGGCCAGCGTTCACCAGGTGCCCAGGTCCGTGAGGGGCGCGGCAGGAGCCGAGGAGGAGGGAGGCCAGCAGGCTGGTGTCGGCAGAGAAGACTGTCCCCAGCACCCTGCCGTGGGAGCCACCCTGGCTTTTGTGACCCCACAGGAGGGGTGTGGATGACCCTTCCCTGTGGGCCCTGGGCTCAGACGGACGCCAGAGCCTCCCCGCAGGGCAGGGGCACACGGCCCCTCGGGGAGGGAGTCAGGAGATTAGGCAGATCCACGTAGGTGCACGTTTAGGTGAGGAGGACCCACCATGAAAAAGGGCAAGGTGCAGAAGTCAGAGGCCAGGCGCCGAGGCTCAGCCTCCCGGCGCGCCAGCTCCGAATGCACCGGATCCAGCGCGCCGCCGCCCAGCCCCCCGCCCACCCCGCAGCCGCCCCTGTCTGGAGTCACCTCACAGCCCAGCAGTGAATCCATCCCCCCGCAGCCCGTGCCCCAGGCTCTCCCAGCTCCCGAAGTCAGCCGCTCGGCTCGGGGCGTCGTGGCTCCGGACACTGACACAAAAGCATCCCCTCGATCCAGCAAAACAGGTGGGCAGCCTGCCTGCTCGAGTGGTTCTAGCCTTCCTGCTG